AGGCTGGAATGTAGAGTAATTCGATACGTTAATGGTTGTAATTTTTGCTATTATCCTCCTTAAGTTACCTTTTGCTCTAATGTGGCTTTCACCAAGTTTAGATATTTCCAGGAAGGACATGAAAACACTCATTTAGGGTTTGGCATTTAGACACAGAAGGGCATTAACAGTTCTGTTTCTTGTTCTATATCAACAAGGAGACAGAAAGTATGGTCTTTTGTCAATACTTCTAAGAATCCAGCAAGTTTTTGAACACATGAACAATCAATCTTCCTGCAATTGAAGAATTCAATCAGATGTTCTTCTCTAAATAATCCACAATACATTCTGTTGTGTATTTGTTGCGTGTTTAAGTCACTCTTTGCTCATTGAAATTGACGCATTTCCGTGGGAAGTTATGTAGTCGAGGGTGGGTTAGTGGATTTACCCTCAGAAGAACAATAATTACCACCATTTGTCTCCCTCTTCATTTGCGTATTGGAGTTCTTGCGCAAAAAATGAACTTAATTACGAAATACGAAGTAAGTTCTCATGAAGTTGTCAACTCATATATGCAAATACACATTTGAAATCGGTTGACATAGAAATTCCAAGAAAATGTTCATTAATTCCTTATCACTTTGGCTCTAAAGACAATTTTCTACGCATTGTTTATTAGTTCTTGCGAATTTACACGCACCTCCGCATTCGTCCCGAGCTGAATATCACTACAGCTTGAACAGACACGAATGAATATGGAAAGTATTCCGAATGGCAAATCCTTTGGGCTTATTGGTGCCAGTTAATGCAGCCTGAATGGCATCCGTCCTGTGCAATTCACCATCAAATACTGTAAATAATTAAATTAAAAACTCTCAATCGAGCATGAATGCAGAGCCTGATGATGCCACTTTATTGCCTGGTAAAATTCTCTGGGTGGTGCGGAAAATGTTGTACTATTAAATAATTCAATTAGTCAACACGACATTTAGCTGGATGGTTGAGAACACAGCAAATGAATAATAGGAAAATTAAAAGACAATTGGGTGAAATAGAGTGGCGTAGAGAGGGAGAATTGCAGGTGAATAGAATGAAATATTTAATAAACTCGCAACTGGCAGAAATACCTGAAAAATTAACATCATTTCAATCACTGCGCACTCCTTTCTGCCACTTCCAACCTCGACACCAGACAAAACGCGGTGGCAAATGGGAAAAATATTTGGTCGCGATGGAGGGAACAACGCTGTATCAACCCTATTGTCAAGGACTCATCTAACGAGGCGACCCAGGTCGAGAAGAGACTTGTTAATCGCACCTTGTCGCTTGCACTCATCGTCATTAGTGTGCTCCGCAGAGTTTCTTCGCCCTGAAAAAAATTGTAAAGCACTTTGATGGAGCATTGTAAGGCTGGAAACTGAAGAGACGACGTTCATCAAATAATTGCATTCCATGGAAAATTCTTTGTGAACCTAGCCAATGCAGATATTTCATTAAAATTTCATCATTTACTGCTCTGTATTCATTATGGTTCGTTTCCTTCATCATCTGACAATTAATCAGGACATGAGATAAATTTAAGAAAGGCATCAAATTACAAGGCAACGTCTAAAGGGAATTTCCAAACTCTCAAGTGGAAACACTTCATTACATCGCAAGAATAATTTGACCGCTAATTTAATATGAAAAAATTTATCAATTAAAATCTTTAAAACAATTTATACAAATTTTTGCATTCATCCACTGAGAGATTTTCACAGAATTCGGACTCTTGTGCCACACAATGGGAGGCTTTTCTTACATGTGACAAATGAATGAAAACCCTCCGCTTTCGAGATCATCATGCCACACACAAGGCATTCCCTGTAATTTTTTTTTCTAATCCAAATAATACTCATGTGACTCACGAAGGGGAATGGTAATTCTCCTTCAATAATCTTCTTACGATGACAAAAGGACATATTTTCGCTACAAAGTAAAAATAAAATTATTTGATCCCGCACCCACTGGAGGAGATTTTTTACGGTATGTGAGGGATTTTCACCGGAGGAGTGATGGAAATTTGCGGAAAATTCTCTGACTGTGTCTGCCTGAGAGTTGGAAAATGTGAGAATTTGGGGAGACATTTCAACACTGCCGATTTTGGGGTGTCTCTCGTGTCAATGATGGTAAATCCACTCTATGGTATTCAATTTGTCGCTTTTGTCGGCATCAACTAATGTCATCAGCCAAAGAGATTTTCCCACACCGTTGCTCAGCATTTCAATCACTCTCTGAAGAGATATTGAATTTTCCATTTTGTGAAACGAAAAATTCTTTTATCACCGAATCACAGTGAATGATGAAATTTCTCTATCGAGAAACTTGCAAAAATCTAAAGAATATTTTGCACCAGATCAATTTTGGTGTTTTAAGATAAATTTTGAACAAATAAAATCTCTTTGGATTCCAGTTAACCACCTCGTTTCCGCTCAAAAGACACCACATTGTTAAAAGAGCATCACTTGGGTGACCAAAGCAAATGAGAAGTGAGTTGACCATTGGGTGAACTTGATTGTCAAAGTGTTCTCTTCCCTCCTCAAAGGTCCATCTCTTCTTTTTGGGGTGATTGTCGAGTGGAAAATTGGCACAATTTACAGCAATTGCAAAGAACTCTCGAAAATCTAATTGTTTGTGTCCTCATTTCCACGGGGAAGAGGCAGACTTTGACACTCACCCAAGTGACACACTACTGACCCACCTGAAATCCGACTGGGGGAGACGAATTTATTGTGCTGCCGTAAATCAGGTCCCCTCCAATTTTCATGCCATAATAGACATTCGCATTCCTGTCGCTATTTCAATTTTCCCAGCGCAGTCAAAGAGAAGGGAAATACCAACAGCGACCATCATAAACGAATTCTTCCATCGAGGGTGGATACTTCAGGACGACAGAACACTGGGGTGGCGACTGTTGGACGAGAGAATGACGCCAATTAACAAGTTCGCTAATTGACACAAAATTAACTGCAGAAATTGACACTCCAATGCAAATTAGCAGGTTGACTAATTTGAAGACACTCGAGGAAGCAAAACGCTATCAAATCTGCCACTTGAGCAACTCCCCAAATTCAGTCAATTGAAATTCCATTAGGCTTAATTTATATGCATAGCCAATCTGTTGAAGTTTTATGCGATTTTCCACGGTACTTGACTCACATCAGCCACTCGATACGGAAGTTTGGCTTCTGCTGCAATTTGCCCGGATGTCTCGCACGCAACAGTCGCAAAACAGGGGGAATCCCGAATGCTTGAGTAAATATTTTTCGATTACAGCATATTTGTATGTAAATTTTTTAATACAATAACTCACCCCTTCTGTTTGATGTGCAATTATCGACAAAGATGGACTCTTAAGCAACTCGAGGGGTGTGTGAAGATTACGCCAGAGTCAATAATTAATTTTGATTCACCTGCAAGTTAGTTTTCTTTGGAAAATCGTCAAGATTTCCTTCCCATCTTAATATCTTGTTCCCCCCCTTTTAATGCCTCTAATTCCTGGGTGGTTCGAGAAAAGACAACAAACATCTCACATGTCAATATCCAATTTTCGCTCAATTTTCTCCGGTGCCAAATCCAATTTTCCAACGTGAAAATTCTAAATTGATTCTGACTTTGCCTCTATATTTTCACAGGCGACAACCACTCGAGCAACAATAGTGCTGCATCGAATATTTTCAATATAGCGCAGGTAAGCGTGAGGGTTCTTTTGTGGGGGGGTGGAAATTTCCTCCACGATAAAAGCTCCTCGACGGCGGTCGGATAATTCTACTGTGTCTCGACCGAGCCTCTGAGTGGGGGTGAGAGTCAAGGAAATCCTCCCAAGGAAGACAACATTGCTGTGTTTTGTCTGATTAACGAGATTAGATGGTGGAATTAGGACGCCTCACTCACTTATTCATAAGCTATTTCAGAGGGATTTTCGGTTAGTCAACTTAACTTTTTTTCCCAGGCCAGTGGAACGGGGAAACTTATTCAATTATGCTGCAACCACTCTTCACCGACCTACACTACTGCGAAATCCCGTTCTCTGCATTTTCCCATATTGATTTACTCAAGTGCACTTGTGCCTCTTCTCAATGTAGCTGGTGTGCTTCCATGCGAACTTTCTCTGCTGTGGCTTCAGGAATATTTCTCCATTTAGGAAACAAATGTATGGCAAAATTTGTGGAAAATGCATTACGAAGCCACGCCTTTTTCATTACTAATATATGTCGAAGGATCTAAATATAGTGTACTTGTGAAATGTCTACAATTTCATTTAATAAATAAAACCTAGATAATATACTAGAATTAAGTGATAAATAGCAGTGTTTTTGTCGCTTTTATTTCAACAGAAAATCCCCCTTTGTTAGGGATAAACATGCACCACAGATAAGTATAGAATGATCGTGAAATCCTAGAAGAGGAGTTGCGGTGACACTTGCATAGAACGGAGCTTAAATAAAATATCTAAAAGTCTTCCATTCACTGCATTGAGAGTCGAATGGGAGTAAGCCAGAGGAATTGTTTGGAATTTGCTGGCAGTGCCAATACCTCTCAGAATGCATGAATAATCAAGAATAGTCTTTTGATCAACACCCATATTGGCACATCCCTCCATCCCGAATTGCTCCATTCTTTGGCCAGCGAATAGCTTCAATGTGGGGAATCCGCAGTGCTGAGGGGGTTCCCAGAATCCAGCGAGGCGGGCACAATTCTCATGCATTTCACATCCACCTGTTGCTCCTCCACGGTTTTTGGAGGGCGTTCCGACTATGCGCACCGACGCAGACTCCCGACAAGGGGTTGAACAACTTCCCAGCATTCAACCACTCACTGTGGATGCCCTCGAATTGGGGTGGAAAATGCATCGCACTGGCAATTTTCCGACTGACATCGCGCCAGTGTGCATCGGAGTGCGGATAACGACGGACACGAGTGTCAAGGGATAATCTTGTGGCCAAATTCTAGATCATAGAAAAATCTGAGTGTCCGTGAAAATGTTCTCCTATCAGGCGCTGCAAGTGCCGCCATTGGGCTCCTATTTGGCGCCTGTGAGTTATCGTGCTAGTGAAGTTCAGGCGCCCCTGGATCTCTCCCTTAGGTCCTCGGGCCCCATCACACCCCCATCGACGCCATCGCCTCCGCGGAAGAGACTCAGGCCTCAGGATGTTGAGCATCCGCCAGTCGTCGAGGAAGCCGAAACCCTGCCTGAAGAATTTTGGCGCCACAGATTTGGATACTTCGACGAAGAGAGTCTGCGTCCTATATTGGGCAATAGGCTCCTAAAGACTTCCTCTTTCGTTGATTATTTTCTCCAAGACACATCCAAGACCTCAAAGGATGATCTCCAGACGGTGTCAACAGAGGAAGAGGAGGTTTTTGTGGATATCACCAGTCCTGATGACGCTAGCGTTCCAGAATTATCCACCATGAAACAGCCAGAAGATATCCTTACAGATGACGAGGAAGAAGCTAGCCTAGATGATAAATCCGATTCAATTATTGACGTGTGTGACTCTGTGCCGTACATCCAAGAAATCGGTAATTATTCGCAGAAATTGCTGACAGATCCTGAAGAAGAAAATGAAGAAGAACGCGAACAATTGGGAATATTAGACAATGGAAAGCTCTGCTTCAAGAACAAGATTTATCATCATCAGGCCATTGAAGGATTCGCAAAGCTCTTTGAGAAAACCTTTGACAGTCTCCCCGAGGATTCTCCTATTCGGAAGGGTGTTGAAGAAAATTCTCAATCCTTGCCGCCACTTCAACCTGCCGCAAGTGTGAAGAATGAGATCAAGAAGAGGATAAAACTGAGAAAAACCAACTTCGATGAGGACAACACGAGTCCTGTGTCAGGGACCATCATCAGAAAGTTGAGGGACGACGAGGAGCTTGTGGTGCGAAAAGGAGATATCGATCCGGCGTTCAATGTGGTTGAGATCACTGAAGAGGCAAAGAGCTTGCTCGCTAAGATCGATAATAAGATTGGATCGTACATTTGTCAACTGTGTCGCATCATGTATGAAGATGCCTTCCAGTTGGCTCAGCACAGGTGCTCCAGGATTGTTCATATTGAGTACAGATGTTCGGAGTGTGACAAAGTCTTTAACTGTCCTGCTAATTTGGCTTCCCACAAAAGATGGCACAAACCACGAGCAGCAAACGCAAATTCCACCAAGAAACCAATAACAAGTGCAACGGGAAAGTTATCAAAACCACAGGTAAAGTAATCCAGTCCCAATGATAATGTCTCTTGATATCATCATTTGTTGTCCTTAGGAGAACATTTCTCCGATCCCAGCTTCTGGCTATGAATCTACTGGACATGCCGAACAATCCCTGGAAAGCAATTTCCCCTGTTCTCTGTGTGGGAAGAGCTTCCGACGGCAGCCCTACCTGAAGAAGCATATGCTGTCGCATCAGGAAATCTACTCGGATAATCAGAATTCTTCTACTTCTGGTGCTGACATGAGTATCTACAAGAAAACCCAATTCGCCATTCAGCATCCCTCGCGTCAAATAGGATATGACTACTCACGGTACTACAATCTCAATCCTGTGCAACTGGATGATAAGAGAAGATTCCCATCCTTCAGTCAGCTTTACTACCAACAGCGAGAGAGATACTCTTCGGCTTTTCAGTTTGTTCGCAATCAGGCTTTTGAGGCTTTCAATCTCAAGAGGTGGGATGAAAAGGAAATTGTTCAAGCTGACAATCCTGCTTAAAAATGATAAATGCTTTTCGCAGGCCTTTTGGCGGTATTCCACCCAATTTTATGATGCCGCCGGACAAATGACAGCAAATCCTGAGGCCAGTTCCTCGACTGGCCGCTCCGTGGTCAACTCAGACGACTCCAACGCCAACACAATCAGCGCCCTTCTCGCCAGATTACGTAGCAATGCAGAATCCCTACTAAAATCCCCCAATGCAATCGTAGCCAAGGAGCACTTCATTCTATATTCTAACTCAAATAATCGTGTAATAGTATAGGTGAAGATACAACAGATTTAGCACATATTTAGGATTTTTTCAATCTTCACCTCCACTCGATAAAAATATCATGTTGATTGTTCACCAAAATTGAGTAATTTGCAATGTGATATGAATGTATATAAGAGATTTATCCACAATAAATGGACATTAAAAATTCTATCTAGAAGAATTCTGTAGTTTATCCTATACAATGTCCTCGGAAGGAGAAAATCACACCAATAAACTTGCTTAACAACCAGTTGTCCACATACAGCAAAGGGAATTTCAAATATTCGCTACTTTTCACCTCACAATCGTACTCGCTTAAATCCCTTCCCAAATCCACTTAATTATTAACAGAAACACTTTTTTTATGCTATCACGCACTATGGAAAAATGTCATCGATGAAAGCTTTTGCACGCTTCATTTCCACCACCTCACACTATATTGTGATGTTCTCCGGCAATTGCACCACTATTGGCTTTCGTTCCATGAAGGATCAATTATTGAAGAGCAAAAAACCGCAGAACAAATATTCTCTGTGCGACAATATTTCTCCCTCGCACTCATTTAACCCTCTCGTTAGAGTTCTCATAAAACATGAGCTGTGAATCAATTAAATATTAAATTACTGCCACATTTATGTAACTCAATTTCTGCCCCGTCGATTAAGAAATATTACGCCTCTGGGAAGTAGTGTGAGCAAAAAATGGAAGTAAAAAAAAAACTGTAAATAATAAGTCACAAAGGTTCTCAAATGTAAGTATTCACTGAATTTCTGTACAACTTGTTCAATTTAATAGTGGCAAGTGTAATGATAGTGGAACAAATGAGATCAAATGGAACGAAACGACTCAAGGACATCTTAATTTTTACACATTTTCTACTGCTTTTCTCATCATTTGGCTTTATTTTGCACGGCACGTGCCATGAAAATATAATAAAGCGGTTATGGCCAGAAAAAAGATGAAAGCAAGGAGAAACAACTTTTTGTCGGTCTCAGCGTGAATCAGAAACAGAATAATTTTTGCTAAGACATATTTTATTACGGTTTTCAGTTAAATTCTTTCATTGCGCTTTGCAACAAATATATGAAGAAAAGATCACCTTAAACCATATATTGGTTTTCTAGTTTACTAGGCTTCAGCAACTGCAGGATCAGCAGGGACAGGAATTGGATCCACAAGGATGGGGTCTATTGGGTACACTTCAATTGGTCCAATTGGATCGTAGGGTCCAATAATATTGCCATCACAGATGCAATGGCCTTTCGTTGTAAAAACGGGACCTGAAAGACAAGAAATGAAGAAAACCTCCGAAAAAATTGAATTTCAAAATTATTACTTGTGTTATGCTGACAGTTATAGATTCCGGCAGAACAGGCGTTGCTGAAAGTTAAAACTTGGCCATCGGGATAATAGCAGCAGATCGGGGCGTAGAGCGCATAACACATATCAAGGCAAGGTGGCAGCAATATTGGTTTCGTAATGGCTTCCTCCGTTTGTCCTGAAAAATTCGGATTAGTAACAAAGACAAAATGCAGCAAATCTAATCTCACCGAGACAAACAACGAAGCACAGAGCAAAAATACAGGTGAAAAGCTTCATTTTTCTTTGAAGATTCTGAACTACTGATCTGTTTCTTAAGAGTAAGTCTCATTTTATAATGGAAAAAATTGTTTTTCTTCCGCAATTTGCGATCAGTATGTACACGTGCGTGTTCATACCCTTGTATTTGTAGAGGGTTGAAGAGGTGGTGGTGTGGATGAGAGACAATGTATGAGTGTGGTGGTGTGAAGAGCGAAAGACGAACAGTAGTTCACAAAAATTTGAACAAGCCAGACGCCATAGAGCGCAAGGTAAGATACATAGAATTTACATGGGGGCTCAACCCAGAATAGAATTCAGTGAAGTTTAACGAGTGCGAAGTATAATCGCGAAGTTGTGAAGTGTGCGATTTAAGTGGAAAAGACGATTTACGCCGGCGGAGTCTCTGTGGGGCGCTACCACAAGAGTGGAGTGGCTGCGGCCAGCGACCACTAGAGGCGTCGCGGGCGTATGGCGGAACGCCGAAGAGTGCGCGAAAAAACTGTACAAGTGTTCGACGCGAGTGGCGCAGTGATCGCGCAGTGGTTGTGAAAATCAAAACAATGAAGATGGACGATGGGCAAAAGCCTAAAAAGTGATTGAAATAAACGATTTTAAGTGTGATTTGGTCGACAATTGGAGGTGTATTGTTGACAATCAGTGAGAGATGACGACGTTCCAAGATTTGGTGGCCAATTTCACCGAATTGGGACTGGAGAAAGAGTGTGCACGACTTGGCATCTCGCCGACAGGCGACAAGTCGGCTCTGGTGAAGATTCTCGTGACGGAGGCTGTGAAAACAGCAATGACGAAAGACGGTGCGGAATCCAACGCGAAGAAGGACGAACTTCGCAAGGATTACGCCAACAAACGCTCTTATGACGTTCAGGAGCGCAACGACGGTGCATGGGGTGGTGATTCGACAAGCATGGCTGAGGAATTCGAGGGTTTTCCCGAGACGAATGGGAACAACGCAGGAGTGAAACCAAATGACGGGTGTTCTCTCAAAGTTGACAAATCCAAGAAGTCCAATCCAAAGACGACGAAGTCATCATCACTCGGTGCCATCAAGAAGAAGCAAGCTTTTGTGAAGTTCGCTGACTTGTTCACGGACAAAGACGACGAAATTGACGACGATACGAATAGTGATGCTGAAGACGACGACGACGAGAAATTTGTGACGGCAAATAAGTGGCAATATCTGAAGACATCGACTCCGAAGAAGCCCAAAGTCCAAGTTGATGCAACTCAGGTGAGGATTGTGAGTTGCAGGGACGGCGAGGACAGCCTGGAGAAGTTTTCAGGCAGCAAGACGCAGAGTATTCACACGTGGCTTGACGAATTTGAGGACGTTGCGGAGTTGGCTGGATGGACTCCACAGCAAAAAATCCTCATTTGCCGAAAGTTGCTGGACGGTACGGCGAGGAAATTCCTGTTCGCCCAGAAGTGTGTCTCTTCGTGGCTCGGACTCAAGCGAATGTTGATCCAGGAGTTCGGCAGGAAGGTGAAGCCCACTGATGTGCATCGCCAGCTGGCGGAGCGAACCAAGAAGAAGGACGAAAGCTATCTGGAATACGTGTATGAGATGCAGAGGATTGGCTTGTTGGCTGATTTTGACGAAATCACCATTTGCGAGTACATCTGCGATGGCATTCCAGGTGAGCCGATGGAAAAAATGAATCTCTATGAGTCTTTGACGCTGCGAGAACTGAAGGAGAAGCTAGAGAGGTATGAGCGGCAGCAGGAGAAGGCGAAAAAGGCTAAGACGAAGCCTACTGATCGTAAGGAGGGCAAAAAGGAGCGTGCCAACAAAGAGGAAAATCTCCCAAGGTGTTTTAACTGTGGCGAAAAGGGGCATAAGAGTGATTCCTGTCCCCACAAGGAGCGTGGGCAGAAGTGCTTTAATTGTGGTGAATTTGGGCATAAGTCGACAGGATGCACGAAGAAGGACGACAAGAAGACGAAGGGCGATGCCAAATCCGCCAAGAAGAAGGATGCCACAGTAAATGTGATTCACGAGGACGACAAGATGAATTTCGAAGTGAATGTGATGATCAACGAGAAGTCTGTGTCAGCACTCGTCGATACAGGCAGTGATATTTGCGTGATCCGTGAGGATTTGTGGAATGAGATCCGCCCTGCTGATGCCGTGGTTGAGCAGCCGCTCAGGGGACTTCGCGGCTTTGGCGGAAATGTAGAGAGGCCAAAGGGAAAAGTCAGACTTGACTTCTCCATCGACGGCAATGAGTTCAATTGGGTATTTCACATCGCCTCGAAGAGAGCTTTGAGGAAATTGATGCTGTTGGGAACTGACTTCCTGATGACGGTGACGCACAGCATTAGTGGAGGTATCGTGAGTATTAAACCCAATATTAAACCTGCTGATAATCATGACGTTGAGGGCTTTGATGATGAAGTCGATTGTGTCGAGGAATCCCCGACTGACGCTGCTGATTGGCTTTTGAGAGTTGAGTCAGATCCAGATGAAATTGATTGTCCCTCTCAATTCAGGACGGAGATAAAAGCCATGATTTCCTCATACAATCCACGAGAGCCGCAAGATGTCGGCGTGAAGACAGTGATTAAGTTGAAAGATGACACACCAGTGGTTCATCGTCCCAGGCGATTTGCACCTTTGGAGAAGCGATGTATCGAGGAGCAGGTGCGTGAATGGGAAGATCAGGGAATCGTTCGTCAGACTAGCAGTGATTATGCCAGCCCCGTGACGCTCGCGAAGAAGAAAGACGGTTCCTATCGATTGTGCATTGATTACCGCGAGCTAAATCTCAAAGTTGAACGCGACAGATATCCGATGCCCCTGATTGATGACCAATTGGACAGACTGGTTGACGCGAGAGTATTTACTACACTCGATCTCAAGAATTCATACTTTCACGTGCCGGTGCAGGAGGAGAGTCGAAAGTACACCGCGTTCGTGACCCATGAAGGACAGTATGAGTTCCTTAAGACGCCATTTGGGCTTTGCCTCAGCCCAGCGAGTTTTGGACGCTTTATAAGTGCCGTTTTGCGTGACTTAATCCACCAGGGAATTGTGCTAGCTTTTGTGGACGATCTTATAATTCCCTCCAGAGATGAGACGGGTGGATTAGAGGCCATGAAGATTGTGATGAACGTTGCTGAGAAGGCAGGATTGGAATTTAACTGGAAGAAGTGCCACTTCCTGAAGAAGTCCGTGGAATATCTTGGGTATGAGATAGCGGGAGGAAAAATCACACCGAGTAGGACGAAAGTGGATGCTGTGTTGAATTTTCCTCAGCCCAAGACAGCCAAGCAGTTGCAGAGATTCCATGGGATGGTGAATTTCTTCCGGAAATTCATTGAGAGTTTTGGTAGAGTTGCACGTCCATTGACACAGGTGATGCACAGTGAAGCAGTGTTCGTATTTGGCGACGCACAAGTGCGGGCATTCGAGATGTTGAAGAAACTGATCTCAGAGGAGCCAGTTGTCAGGATATTCAATCCAGCGGCGGAGACGGAAGTGCATACGGACGCTAGCAAGGATGGCATTGGAGGAATTCTCTTCCAGAGATGTGCGGAAGATGGAAAGATGCAT